AATAAGATCACTAAGGAGTTCTGGTAGATTCATGGTAAGAAATTGCACATCAAACACAAAGGTACACTTTTTTAATTCACCAGCTGCTCCCTGGAAGAAAGATGGGTAATCTCCTCCTGTGAGATTTCCTGACTGAAAACCTTGTGGACAGTCAGCCATTGGTCTGTTTTGATTCAATGGTACTCAACAACAACAAAGATTGTTGGATCAAACAGTGTTCCTACTCCCAGTTTTCCAAGGAAGTGTAAATTGTTTTTCATCGTAGTTGTATCATTTTACCTTCCCACCAGCAGTTAAAGAGAGTTCCAATCTCTCCACACTCTTGCTGGCATTTTGTATGTGATGTCTTATCCAAACAACAAACTCAACTCATCAATGTTGAGTTGGGATCACTTTACAGCTGACCCTTCAGTGAGTTTTCAGAAGTTGTGAATTACATGTGAGATTAGTTGCCTTTATTTCTGATAACAACTAATGGATTCAAACTGCCTGTCTTTGGGTTGGCTGTACAACTCCTTACCCACAAGCCACCAGGACTCCCTATTTCTAATATACCTTGGTAATGTTACTAAAGCAAGTCACTGAGTTTCTCACCTTCTTCATAGTTCCCCATTCTCCCACTATCTTCCCAATAGTGGGCTTGAGGGGCCTCCACATTGTGGTGACTCAGATACAGACTATTGTTCTGTTGCTCATGTTCTGTGATCTTGAGCAAGTCACTTGCTACTTCTGTTGTTGTTAGGTGCTGTCGAGTCAAATTTAACTCATAGCCCCCTATGATTTAAGTATAAAAAGTTATTTTTTATTTCCTTTCATGCCCATAAATCTAGATTGAGAATACTGCCAAAGTGGTTTTCAGTCTCTTTTTTCTGCAAACCTTCCAAGGTGTAATAATCTAAACAAAATAACAGTAGCATAAAGTTTTAACTAAATTAAACAGTGCTATGAAGAAATGACAAAAACTGACTTCCTCCTCCCCATTTATAGTACCACCTTGAACTTCAGTTGAGAGTTTATCAACAAATACTCTTTGTGTACCTGGGTCTTGGCTGACACAAGGGCTTGTCTTTATGACGGTCTCAGGAAGGGCCTTTTAGTTATGGTGTAAACTGCACTTACACCAAGTTACTACTGCTGGGGGAGTCCTGGCTGTGTTTTAACGTTCATGTTCATGTCTCCTGCAGGGCTGATTTCAGGCCTGGTTCCCATGTACATTGGTGAGATTGCTCCAACCTCACTCAGAGGTGCCCTGGGTACTTTTCACCAGTTGGCCATTGTCACGGGTATTCTGTTCAGTCAGGTAACCACTCCCCATCTTCAACTTCACCCACTGTCTCCCTCTGTGAAGGTCTGATTTCACTATAGACAATCCAAGAAGAAATTTTAAAAGCTCCACTGGTGGTGGCAGAAATAGTATAGAGACATAGAGACATAGAACTTACTAGTTCACAGCTAAATAATAATA